ATATACAGTACCATAAGTATAAACCCTGCAACACAATCCTTGACAGTGTCATTTTTCATTTGATAACATTGTTCATTTACTAACAACTGAGCTATGATGATATTCTCCAGTGATGTTATCATATTCACGAAAGTATGCAAACGTTGAAATGTAATGTAGAAAAGTAACATTATGAAAAATCAAATTATTGAATATTACCTTATTTTTCTCTAATAACTACTGACCCGTGAAGATCCGGGGTAGAATAGGTCTTCAGCAACCCATGCTTGCCGTAAAAGACGACTATGCTTGTCATAAGAAGCGACTAACAGGATCGGGTGGTCAGGCTGGCTGACTTGGTTGATGTATGTCATCGATCCCAATTGCATGGACCGTTGCTCATGATGTCAATCACTGGATTGTCTGGTCCAGACTCTATTATTTACAGACTGCTGTCATATAGCTGGAATATTGCTGAGTGCGGCGTTTAACAACAAACAAACATACAAATCTAATAACTGCTCATATAGATTTTCGATCAGAAGTCTTATATATTATCATGATTATGTTTTGTATATTTACTAGGAGAATAGCCTTTCCAACAAAGTTGAAATCCATATGAAATCCACCTCGTAAATCTCCCTTTAGCCATTATCTTCAAATGGTCGATTCATGTCAAGGTTGATTCTTCAAAAGGCTTTAGACCAAAGGATCATTATGCATGAAGGAATGGATTTTTTATGGCCTGAAATAGGAAATGAGTTTACTATGAATTAGTATTTGGTAGTTATATTAGCTGGGAAGTCTACACCAGATCATGACAATGAATGGGTGTTGATCCATCAGATGTACAAAGGGAACCCATGTGAAGATGCAGGTTAGAATTGGTCTGCAGCAACACATGCTTGCTGTGCGGAGGAGACTAACGGGTTCAGGTTCAGTGACTCAGTTGATGCATGTCATCATATCCAATTACGTAGATCAGTGCTCTATCCCCCTCTTGTTTGTATGTACGTGTGTCAACATCTTCCCGAGGCAAGGGAGTTAACTGACTTTAAAAGTCCAGTTTCCACCCTTGCCGAACTAGGTTGGAATTCCTGGGCTCAACCATAGCGCCACCAGTGGTTATTACCAATTATGTCCCATCTAAGCCTCTCATATGGACCAATCAGATTCCACCTCTCGTATCACTTGCATTTGCTTCAAACCAAATGGCGGCACCCAGTCAAAACGATCTGATCGACAATCAAGATCTATATTGTGATAAAACAAGTCTCACATAGCGAAGTGCATCAAATCATGTGAGCACCTTGATTAAAAACATGAAAAGACTTGGAAATTATCGTTGACAACGAGTTTGCGGTGCACATGCTTTGCAAATCCTGCAATCGACAGAAATCTGCATGACATTTTACGAACCGGATTTCGATTTCGGTGCTCGATTTTGATTGGACTATGCATAGACTCGTTAGTCCAGCCAAACTGTAACTCCATAATACCAGCCTAGTTTGGCAAGGGGGGAAACTGGACTTTTATAGTCAGTTAACACACTTGCCTCGGGAAGATTGTGTGTCAACAACTAATGTACTCTCACACTGTTTCATGTTATATTATGACATCACATGCACTGAATGAGTGAGTGAGTGTGGTTTTACTTTGCAACCATGTCGGGAATAGAACCCAGGTCCTCGGCATGACGAGCTAACCCTTTAACCACTAGGCTACCCGACAGCCCCTCACATGTACTGACCCATGTACTGTTCTCAGTAGTAGTAGTGGGACAGTAAGCCCAATATATCGGTGGATCACGATTTTTTATTTCGTGATACAAGTATCGATCATACTCACACACTAAGTAGAAAGTGTCGATCCTTATCTTAAATGAATTCTTTAATAAATGTTACCCCAAACACTAACTACTAGTGTAAATGAATAGTGAAAACATAAATATTTTCATCCATTGCGCCATACTTGACACTGCCAACTGTAAATCATTAGTGTGCATGGTATTTGGCCATCCTGTCTATGAAAAAGATGGCTTACACACCACGGATAAGAGTACATGCAAGTATCATGATACATATCGGATAGTGAGCAAGGTATCGTGATACTATCGGATCGCACAGTTGGTGTATCGTCCCAGCCCTACTCATTGGACATCTGACATGCTTTGATGACCAGGAAAATAACATAGGAACTAGGGCAGGGATGGGTAACTCAGGTACTCAGGTCAGGTGGGTACTGAGTAGGACCCAGGTACAGGACTACATAGTCCCATGGTACCGAGTAGGACCCAGGTACAGGACAACACAGTCCCGTGGTACTGAGTAGGACCCAGGTACAGGACTACATAGTCCCGTGGTACTGAGTAGGACCCAGGTACAGGACAACACAGTCCCGTGGTACTGAGTAGGACCCAGGTACAGGACAACACAGTCCCGTGGTACTGAGTAGGACCCAGGTACAGGACAACACAGTCCCATGGTACTGAGTAGGACCCAGGTACAGGACTACATAGTCCCGTGGTACTGAGTAGGACCCAGGTACAGGACTACATAGTCCCATGGTACTGAGTAGGACTCAGGTACATGACTACCCAAGCATGTGGTACAGAGTAGGATCCAGGTACAGGACTATCCAGACTCGTGGTACTGAGTAGGACCTGGGTACCCACAGGACTACCCAGACTCGTGGTACTGAGTAGGACCTGGGTACCCACAAGACTACCAAGACTCGTGGTACTGAGTAGGACCCGGGTACAGGACTACCTAAGCATGTGGTACAGAGTAGGATCCAGGTACCCACAGACTACCTGAACAAGTGGTATTGAGTAGGATCCAGGTACAGGACTATCCAGACTAGTGGTACTGAGTAGGACCTGGGTACCCACAGGACTACCCAGACTCGTGGTACTGAGTAGGACCCGGGTACCCACAAGACTACCCAGACTCGTGGTACTGAGAAGGACCTGGGTACCCAGAAGACTACCCAGACTCGTGGTACTGAGTAGGACCTGGGTACCCAAAAGACTACCCAGACTTGTGGTACTGAGTAGGACCTGGGTACCCACAAGACTACCCTGACCCGTGGTACTGAGTAGACCCGGGTACCCACAAGACTACCCTGACCCGTGGTACTGACTAGACCCAGATACCCACCAGACTACCCTGACCCGTGGTACTGAGTAGGACCCGGGTACCCACAAGACTACCCAGACCCGTGGTACTGAGTAGGACCCGGGTACCCACAAGACTACCCTGACCCGTGGTACTGAGTAGACCAGGGTACCCACAAGACTACCCTGACCCGTGGTACTGACTAGACCCAGATACCCACCAGACTACCCTGACCCGTGGTACTGAGTAGGACCCGGGTACCCACAAGACTACCCAGACCCGTGGTACTGACTAGACCCGGGTACCCACAAGACTACCCTGACCCGTGGTACTGAGTAGGACCCGGGTACCCACAAGACTACCCAGACCCGTGGTACTGAGTAGGACCCGGGTACCCACAAGACTACCCAGACTCGTGGTATACTCGGACCTCGTGGTAATGCGGCATTCATCGTATCGCGACATTTGTGATTTCCAATAGTTCACGCGGGACACACCTCTTAGCGGCTGTCTATTAATGTAAATCAGTAACCAGGAAGTGCTCACTTCGTAAACAATTTCAATTTCCTTGGAATGTTCCGTCGGCTGTAAGTAAGGAGTTATTAATGCGTTGATACTTACTTCTGGCATCTGTTGTAATATTGCCTTACCCCCATCTATCAATGGCCAACGATATAACCCGCAGTTCCCCAAGTAAACTTTCTCTATCGACCTGAACTAGATCATCTGCATAGTCATGGCGACTAATAAGGTAACGGAAGTTACGTAGTCTGCACATTTTTTCCCGCTTTGTGCCCAGAATCTATTGGGAGATCATAAGGGCCATAATGCCAAACTTAGAAATACTTTCTTCACTAGTAGCCAAAAGATAAATACATACTTTGGGCATACTAGGAGTGCTTTTTATTTATTTATTGATGCCTTTTAACATTTTTCCATTTTGTGACAAAAAATTGTCATCCAATTGTTTTATAAACAATCTTAGAATATCATTTCTGATATTTTGTTGTTGACTTATAAAAATATTTCTCTCTTACTTTTCGGTAAATAGGCATTGAATACCTATTACTGATAACACACTGGGAATTTTACTTGTGCTGTCTTTGCACTTGTCTGGACAAATCATTGATGTCTGGCATGATCATACCAAGTGGTTGGTAGATTTATGTCCTCTTTTTGTCCAATTCGGACCTCTATACACAACTTTTCTCTGTACCGCGATACGATGGAGTTCTCTCCCTTGTCCACCAGAGCGTGAGGCCCGGCTTTTACTCGGAGCTACTGATGTAAATAATGAACTTTTATCAGTAAAATATGCATTGTTTGATAACATGAATGATATCTGATATAGAGAACGCGAATAATCATAAAGGTTAGTGAGTGCATTTTGTTCCGTTTAGCGTACATGACAAGTACCGCGATACCCCAAGGTTGCAGGCTACTGAGTAGGACCTGGGTACCCACAAGACTACCCAGACTCGTGGTACTGAGTAGGACCCGGGTACCCAGAAGACTACCCAGACTTGTGGTACTGAGTAGGACCTGGGTACCCAGAAGACTACCCAGACTTGTGGTACTGAGTAGGACCTGGGTACCCACAAGACTACCCAGACTTGTGGTACTGAGTAGGACCTGGGTACCCACAAGACTACCCAGACTTGTGGTACTGAGTAGGACCTGGGTACCCACAAGACTACCCAGACTTGTGGTACTGAGTAGGACCTGGGTACCCACCGGACGGGTACCTGGGTAGTAAATTTGGATTCGTACCAGCCCTAGTTGGAACCAGATGAACCCGTAGGAAGAAATCAAACTTGGAGGCCTGACCTTAACCTATAATAATCATTGTATAAATCTATCTCTATTAATTTCATATGTGCTAAGTATTTTGTGTTTATTTTCCAGTTCCATGAGCACAGTGTCGTTCCTCGATGAGCCTGGTCATGACGAGACGTATCGTGTCCCAGTCAGGTTTGAGAACACATACCAACTTTCCCCCAATAAACGCTTCCCATACTCCAAGGTCCAGAACATTATAAAGGATGTTATGGAGGCATATTTAGCAGAGGAGAGATACGAACCAGAACTCTGCAGACAGATGTCCAAAACTCTCTCTGAGGTAGGCAGCCAGCAGACGGCATTGGATTTATCCTAAAAAAAAATTCCTTAAATTACATTGTGTTTGTATTATGCTGAGAGGTACAAGATCAAATACCCTTTAGTAAGTATATACTCTGAAAATTTGTGCTCCTCATATTAAAGAAGTTGACATCCACAAATTCTCTCTTTTATGTGTATCACTTCTAAATGCCGTTTAAAGACTTAATCAATGGAATGTCGAGTCCAGACTCGATTATTTACAGGCCACCGTCATGTAGCTGGATTATTGCTGAGTGCAGCATTAAACAATAAGGAAACAAATTTCTCATACATTGTTCAATATATCTCTATATTTTGTACCTATGTAGATAGATTTTCATAAGCCTGCATTCGATGATTAAAAGGTTATGTTTACAATGGTTAAGAACAAGGCTTTTATTAAATGTGACATATGCTTTGTGCATTTCACAACTATTCTGTTTGTGATGCTTCATGTCAGTCAATCCTGATGTCTATTTCTCTCATTAGGTGATCAAGGCCAGGGTCAAAGAGTTGATGATCCCTCGCTACAAGATCATCTGCCTTGTCCATATTGGTCAGCTGGGTGGTCAAGACATGCGAGTCAGCAGCCGGTGCCTGTGGGATGCCGGCAGCGACACTTTCTCCACTTCCGAATTCCGCAATCAACATTTATATGCGATAGGCTCTGTGTATGGTGTGTACTATGAATGAGGAGAACTGACATGTATTACCGTTATGAACACTTGTTGATAAGCAATAGGGGGTGTAAATTTCAAGTTGTGAATTGAGTGTTGACAGCTGTGGTATACAGGAGTTATCAACCCCCATGCCATTCCTAACTGTGATAGACCAGTATTGTTTGTTCATTGGCCAGTGGCCATGTTTATTGTTTAATTGTTTTACCTATGTGGAGGTAATACGGGATCTGATTTTATTCAACTGCTTTTAAGGATAAAAGCATATTTTAAATTATGAATTCAAGTTGGTTGTAAAGAACTAAAAGATAACAAGTATTTATACATTTTTGCTATCAAATGTATATTTTTAGTATATTTAAAAATGTTAGAATTTTTTACTGGTCCATTGACCCAAGTTGAAGAATGTGCTGACTTTACCAAAATGCCCTTTTAGTATTGTTCCCTTATTTCTTGGCAATTTGAATGAAATCTAAATAAGATTTGAATTAAAGAATACGTAAAAGAAAGTCTGCCTACATGTGTAAGGGAGCTTTAATACCAGGGTTGTGTGGTACATGTAATGTGTCTCCCTTGTGGTGGATGCAAACAGCTGTTTCATGTGGTATGTTCTATATAACGCATAATGGTATATTATCATGCTTGGTGATCATGAATATAGATGCTACATTAACTCACCTGATTCATTGACTGAAGTAGATGATAAACTACCCAGTTAAATTCTATAGATAATATAGAAACGTCAAGAAATCTGATTTTTCCAAGGACTACCAATGCATTTTAAATGAAACATCGGATACCATGCACCAATTTTACATGATAGGTGTACAATATATCTGGCAAGATTTCTCAGACCCTTAGGGCTTACTTGAATTAAGTAAACGATAAATCTTAAAATTATTTGGACAAGTTACTGGGTAATAAGGCAAATGTTTGTTGGAGAAAAGCTTCACATCTGAAGAGATCATGGAACTCTTCTCCAACTGCAGTAGCATTACATGAGTGACAGTTTGGGTCTTCTCTAGGCAGACCACACCATTGACCACTCTCTCTTGGTAGGTTCTCATGTATGATCAAAGGTGTAAGATAGACATGTTGTTTTGAAAGGAATAGATAACTTTTGAACCTTCCGTCCTTATTAATATCATAATAGAACAAAATTTGGGAACACCCTTTTACGATAAGTTGCAAACTGGATGAGTATATACCTTCAGCTCCGTCCCATGATTTGCCACTCAATGAGTTGGCTGTATGTCCTATGTTATGTTAAATTTCATTAATTGAGTTGTTTCCCTTAGCCATGCCAGGGTCTGCTAGTCATGGGATTTACCTAGATTGTGATCCTTGATTTCACCCCAGTAGGTTGTAAGGGGGTGTGGAAGTCTCAAGACTGAAGGTCTGAAGGAATTCATTTCTTTCCTGCATTGAACTTTGGAACTGCTCCCATAGTTAACTCAAGTTTCTTTCTGTTGAAATCTACACAAGCAGATTGACTGGTGAAATACAACACTGTCAGTCACACAGTGAAATGTACATATCAGTGAGCAGGTGTTATCTGTGTGGAGGACATTGCATGCTTTTCTGGCATGTGCATATCATTGTCTGTTGCCACTGTAGCCAGGATACACAGTGATCAGATGATCAGCAGAAACTGACATGTTTTGTGTGGGATTTCTGTTTAGATAATTGAGGGGTTTCAGGGACAGAATAGTGAGCCATGCATACTAACAATACTGACATGAGATACCATGTACTTTTACTGTTGACAACTTCCCTTTTTCAATTTCTTGATTTTTCAAAGTAAATATGAAAGTCAATACTCAGGATTGTTTGCAATTTTGTCGTAAGAAGCACATTTTCAAATTTTTTCATGTTTGCTAGGCACATAGAAGTTAAATGTACAATTTTTAACATTTGAAACTTCCTAATACAGTATTCTGTCATTTCAGTGAATATTTTGATCATGTCATCTCTTGGAAGAAAGTGTTCTTATTTTCGTAACATGTCTTACGTAGCCATATTTGTGAAGTTTGTCCCGATATGGCTATTGTAGAATCAGTGTGATAGTTTAACTCATGTTATGAAGGTATTTCTCCTTCTGTTTATTTTCTAACTTTGGTGTGAAGTTTTAAAGTTGTGTTGAGCTAAAATCAAATACTTCAATAGCTCAGTCATGTACCATGTTACTTAGAGTATTTTTATGGCGGATGATGTTTTTTATATAGTGTGGTCTTTTTCAGATGTTTAAAGGAGACATACTGGCATCCTTGTTTATCCAGTGCATTAAATCACCATTCTAACATGATAAATACCCTTGATCCATTCTCCACTATAGTTTTCTGTCCAGTTCTGATGACTTGATGCTTGCACTAGATTTCCAGTCAAAGTTGAACTGTTCTTTCAGGATTGACAATCAGGCGAATGCCTCTGTAGTCTTGTGGATAGAGTGTCTGCCTGTAGAGCTGGTCATTGGTTTGATCCCTGGCCATTTCATACCCAAAGGCGTTAAAGGATGGTGTTAGTTGTTACCCTGTCTGGCGCTCGGCATTATGGGGCTAAAACAAGGGCTGGTCAGCTGGGAATCAGTCTGAGTGGGGTATTCATGTTAAACTGTGGCATGGGTTTGTAGTATAAAACCTGCATTAGTCTTAACTAGCACAAGCGTACACAATGCTATATAACCGCCATAATGATAACCTCATTTCACCTCTCCTCATTATAATAGTTAATTAATAACTGTCGTGTGATGACTTTGCAATATCTAAATGTTGATCTCACGTTCAAGAGGCATTTGGATTTTAAGCTCATTGAGCTGTTGATGTCACCTCTGAAATGAAGCTATGGTGGGGAATAGGTCCCGGGTTTGTTTCATATTGGAATTGAGATATGTCATACCAGATGCTCCTCGGAGATGCTTGTCTTCTTTGCTTGTCAAACTATGTTTGATTTCAGCTCCACAGCCTCTGAAGAAAAACACCATTAACATCCAATTAACATCACAATGCTTCCATCCCAGCGTGTACATTTCAGATATGTCGTAAGTGAAACATACCTGCAATGTTTACTTGTAGGTAGTTACATCACCATCATTGATGTCATTAATGTATATACATGTCCATGTTGTTTATGCTTGCTGATGTATATATGTTGATGGCAGCCTTTCCTCTACTGGGACTGCTCCACAGATTAACCTTGGTGTGCGACATGCAATGTACGAGGTGCATCCAGGGGGGATTGCCCAGTGTGGGGTGGCCAGGGTTGAAATGTACACCTGCTGACAGTGATGCCTTAATGTCTGGTGTACAGAAGAAATGTACATAGCTTTAGTAGGGTGGTGTGTTATATGCTGTGTGGAGTAGCATGATCAGTTTGATATTCATGTCATCCCAATAGATTTTCTGTTGTTTTTTTGTACTTGTGGCTTGAAGATGAAGTTTAAAGTGTTTGTAGAAGACTGCATCAAAGACCTACATTTATTTTTAAAGTGTTTGATGGTTATTGTAGTTGAGCCTAGTGGTTGAAGGACCCACATTTCACTGTGTGGTCTGTTAGACGTGCCAGGATCTCCGGTTGTGTTTTTATATTCTATATTCACCGATGGTCCGGAAATTATTTTGCCAATCGGACATTTGCATTTTGGTCATGCCCACCTCATATCTTTCAACCTATTGGTATGTAGGTCCGTGTGGCTGAGGTGATTGATGTTGACCGAATTTTAAAATGTCCGGTTTACACAATTTCAAATCGGACATTTTCACTCACAAGTACGGCGCACAGACCAATTCCTGGATCCCAGATATTCACTCTGATTATGTTGCTTCTGCACTTAGGGTTTATATACCGACACCTGATTTAACTGAAATACTGTTCAACCTATACCTGTTATTTCTAAATAGCACAATATTATTGACCATCACTTGCAGTATAGTGATTAGTCATAATGAATAAATATGCAATTGAGGTGACCTAGCAGGAGGTACTATTGATAAGCTCTATGCATCGGTGGAATGCCTACTTACTGGATATGCTATTGCATAATGTTCCTAACGTTTAGATAGTATGTGTGAGTGCTGTAAACAAACACGGCTGAAATCAGCACTATGTAACAAACAGGGCTGTTTACTCAGGCATTGTATTCATACGCGGTTCCTAACATTACTTTGCTAATATGAATGATGTTTTAAGAAAACAATTATATTATTTCTCTTACTATAGCGGGATGCTTATTATGTTGAATATGTTAAATTTTGTGACATTTTGATACAGGAACTCGCTCATAATTTCTGAATAACACACCTGATCAATTGGTAAGTAGTTATTTTCAGATAATATTGTGCTCCAAGTACACTTTACAGACTGCTAATCAGATATAGCTGACCTTGAAACATGATGTAATACATGTGATGTAAAAGTTGTCTACAAACTTTCTTGGCCTAAAGGGGCGGTGGGGTAGTGTAGTGGTTAAAGCGTTCGCTCGTCACACCGAAGACCCGGGTTCGATTCCCCACATGGGTAAAATGTGTGAAGCCCATTTTCAGTGTCCCCCTGCCATGATATATGCTGGAATGTTGCTTAAAAACGGCGTAAAACCATACTCACTCACTCTTGGCCTAAAATTAATGTAAGTGATCAGAAAATTAAAAAATAATCAATTCAGACATGTCCAAATTGATTTTATTGGTGAAGGTAAAAACATGAGTCAAAAACACCACTGACTCCGAAGAGAATATGATATGAATGTGATTTTCTTTACCTTTTAATTAAATCAACAATTTCTACAAAGAAGCTTATGTTGTCTTGTATTTTTTCCACCTATGAAATTGCCAGACCCACAAATTTTCAAACATCAATTTCTTCTTTCTGGATTTTTTAATATGTTACATCCATAATCCAACTAATACTAAATAAATGGCTTTAGAGTAAGTGAACTACCATCATTTGCCTTAGCATATTTACATGAGGAGAACTTGATTAATAATAAAAGGGACTTTATCAATCTGGACATTGTATTTCCATTAACACCAGTTGGATTGATTAATGAGGTCTTGATTAAAAGGGTTCAGTTTTATGAGGTTTTTCTTCATGTAAACATGGTAAAAGGCAAGTTATAATGTTCATGTCTGAAATGTGATGTCATGGCTCGATACAATCCTGTTAAAATAGCCATGCATGTTTTTACATAGTGAAACAGGCTTCTTACTTTCGGTGACTGTTAGCAATACAATGTCACTCAGATATTCATAATGATGGGAAACAGTTGATAAATTGAATATACTTTGAATGTTTGCAATATGAAGAGATTTCATTTATCATGTTGGTTTTTTTTTCTGAATTTATAGCAATCCTCACATGTGAACGTTTTGTTTCTCACCACCCGTTTTGTGTTGCACATATATTTACAGTGTTAGAGTCATCACCCTTGTTAAATGTACCATGTCAAGTTGAACTTTACATGTTATTGAACTTAGATATGTATGCTTTAATCAGAGTAAAATATTTTTGAAAGTCATTTTCAGATATCTCTGGCAAAGTACCATCCTCGATTGTCCAGGGTATGATGTCACCATTCTATTCTAAAAATACCCTGGACCAATTCGACACCATAGTTTCATTTTGAGCCTGTTTCATACGGCATGACACTAAAAATAGACATCCATTCAATCTCCTATTAGAGAAATTCTGTTCATAGTCAGTGGAGGGATTATTGGCTGTAGTGATATCACCAAAACAGAGCTATGATGATAAATGGCCCCAGAGTAAATATTATATTAGAATGGAGATATTATACCTAGATAATCGAGGATGGCGGAGTATCAACAGACAATCAGTTGTGAACTATTTTGTTTACATATTTTAGTGTCTTAATTTTGATACATTTGTATCCAGCTGGGGTAAAACCTTTCATTTCTCCTGTCTCAGCCATTGGTTGTCCTCTGTCCACACGAGGAGATGGAACTGGGGATCAGGGTAATTTGCATCTTCCCGAGACAAGAGAGTAAACCCACTTTAAAAGTCCAGTTTCCACCCTTGCCGAACTAGGCTGGAATTCCTGGGCTCGATCGTAGCGCCACCAGTGGCTATTACCAGTTATGTCCATTCTATGCTGCTCCTATTGACCAATCAGATTCCACCTCTCGTATCACATGCATTTGCTTCAAACAAAATGGTGGCGCCAAGTCAAGACGATCTGATCGATAATCAATATCTATATTGTGATAAAACGGGTCTTACATCACGTGAGCACTTTGCATATACTCGTTAGTCCAACCAAAACGTAACACCATAATACCAGCCAAGTTCGGCAAGGGTGGAAACTGGACTTTTATAGTCAGTTAACTCTCTTGCCTCAGGAGGATGGGTAAATTGTAACCTGCGATTGTTGTGTCAGAACATAACCAGGGTTTTAATTGCATATTTTAATTCAAACCTTCAAGTAAAATTTCAATATTAACATAATCTTATCATGTTATGTTTTTACAACAGACCAATTTTATTTTTTGTACAGATTTCTCGCTCAGGTGCAAATTATTAAGAAACACAGTAATTTCATTAATAAACTCCTAATTATATAATTTCATAAATAAAGTTATAACGGTAATTTACATACAAACTTTAAGATGATCAGTGTTAGAATATTTTTCAGTAAAATATCATTTTTACTCTTTTAACTTTTGCACAAACCCTAAAACAAGAAATGGGTGTAGTCTTATGTTGTGGTTTCAGCTGGGAAACATCTTTATGTTTAATGGTGTTTTTATCATTTTAATAGCTTGTGCTGTATGAACTTTCAGTACACAGTGACATTATGTATGTTCTTTCTGTGTACCTAGTGGAGTCGGTTGAAACATCAGCTTTCTTGGGGAATGTTTCATGCACAGCAGTCATATTTATGTTCTTTGAACCGGAACTGTTTTATTTCTTCTCATCTTCAAATATCTCTGACGGTGAGAAGTAACTTGCTTTTGCTTCAGCCTACATTCACCTCAAGGAGTGACATATTAGGCTGGCTTTGTGTCTACTTCATGCACCGGAGATAGCTACTGTCACAGCAGCAGTAGAGTGGAACTGCACCCCACCCTCTATAGTCTACTGTATACAAACCATTGGTGTTCTGTGATGCAACAAACCGACCTCCGTCAACGCCCATAGCAGTAATGACATGTATGTTGTAGCAGTAGAGGACATTCTGCCTACCGGTATTTGATAAGATGTTTATTTCATGTCTTTGAAGTGTGCTGAGATCATGGAATTATGGCCTTACTTCCAGTTTTAGCTCAGTCTTATGTTCAAGTGGTTGGATTTGTTGCAATTTGCTATTCAGAGTTGTGTTCCTTTGTTGCCCCAGGATATGCTGATCATGTTTTTGAATTTGACGTTAATATAGCCACTGATCTGTAAGCATCTCTGCTCATGGATTTCACCAAAGTCATAAGGGTCTATGACCTGCCTCACTTTCGGCTTCCCTCACACATTAAGCTGATGTGACTGAAATATTATTCATAGTGTCTTCAAACCAAACTGACAAATAAAAGAATTGGTCTCCAGCAACCTAAACTTGTTGTAATAGGCGGCTGAATAGGGTAAGACTTGGTGACTTAGTCAAATGGGTTTTTTTTTGTACCCCAACCACATGGGATGTTGCTCATAATATCAATCACTGGTTTGTCTGGCCCACTCAATTTTCAGGATGCGGTCATACAGCTGGAACATTGTGTTTCTGAGTGAGGCATTAAACAACAAATACTTTTTTGTTCATTGTGAAACATCATATTCATGTGTGTTCTTGTATATTTTGTTTACTAAACTTACAGACTTGAGAAAGGGAATAATATCAATATTATAACGGCAACGCTATTTTTCAGGGCATTATCATTGCAGAAGACCAAGGTCTGCCATTAACTGCCCAACGAAGGAGGGCAGTTGAAAAGACCGAGGGCTTCTGCAAGTGATAATGCCCTGAAAAATAGCGTTACCGTTATTGTAGCTAAAATGGATTGAATTTGTTATCAAATAAAAAGAAACAACAATATTGGTTTTGAAACATTTACTGCAATCAACACGAATGTCAGTGACCCACTTTTACAAATCTGGAAACATCATAGAACAAACTAGATGACGTCACTATTGAACGTGACGTCACCTATCCCTATCCTATGACATCACCTAACAACGGGCGTGATACTGGCCCGTCGTCAAGCAATGAGGGCATTATCAATTTACAGTGGCCCGCTCATTTCTGATAACATGCGGGCGGTTTAATGATAATTCTATCCATTTTAGCTATAATAAGAAACACATAATGTGCATCGTACCTCAGGCTGATGCTAGTCATTCACGCACTCAAGAAAACCCCAGACCTGAATCTAAAAGACTGTTAATAAATGATTAGCTTTGATGCTAAAGTTGTTATTTAAAAATCTATTTACATGTGACAAGTGTGAATATATTATAGTACTTAATCGGAAAATATGTATTAATGCAAGCTTTAAATTATGATGATAATGATACAAATTAATAGTCTGTAAGACCATTATCATTCTGTTCAAATGGTTTAATCTGTTTAAAGACATGTATGCATTACAATCAGCAGAAGAGTCCATGTTGGGTTCATCGAGTTTGTTATTTGCTTTATTAAAATCTTGATCAGGAGGCTTTTAAAATGAAGGTGATTTTGTTGCTAAATATTGTCTTAAGAACCTTATGCAGTCAAAGCGAAAGAAACAATCACTTCCCTAGCTTGACTACAATCATTGTGATGAAGATTTTGTGGCTCCTGTGTTTACTGTTGGCTGTTAATGTGATCCATGTTCAGTGTAAAGACTGAATGTATATCATCACTGCCTGTGTTGGAGTTACTCAGCAATGTCATACATATATGTTGTTTTCTGTTTCTTTTGGACACTTTTGATAGCAATATTTATCCCGATACACCATGTCAGATTATATAACTTGCAATTAAGCTGTATCATATTCTTCCATATCCAGTTATGATAACTCGGTTATCTCAACATTTTGGCCCCTGTTCCACAAGTCACAAAGGTCATCAGGGGTTTTGATGTTAGGACAATATACAATGCTTTGTCTCCTTTGTTTAGGATTATCCAAGTTATTTATAATGATAAATTAATACAGTAATTGCAAACATCACAGTTCAACATGCGCCATGTGATCTGAGATGGAAGTGACATTTAGTCAATACTGTTAATGAACAGTTTCTCGAAACAGGGCCCATATTCACAAAGCA